CAAAAAAGGGGGGGGGGGGGGGGGGTCGCGATAGTTGAGGTCACCGTAGCTAAAGTACATAAGTCTATACTCGGCTCCGAGGCCTATTTGCGACAGGTCATACAGAGGACAGGCTCAGGGACACCGAGGAGCTGCAGTACTCCAGGGGAGATAACTACAAACAACACCTAAAGGAGTTACTGTTCGCTGCTCGGAATGGGGTAAAATGATGATAAGCAATTTTCTTGGAGATTAATTTCAGACCGTGGTGAATTTTTACCGTCAGGCGGAAAATAGAAGAAATTATTAAAATGATGAAATAAAGTTCTTATTTTATGAGTTATATCGAAAGGTGGTAGACAGCAAATATAGCAGCCGGCTGTATTCTGCATTGGGATTATTCGGATGGGGTGCCGTGAGAGGAAGGGAGGGGTAGCCCAAGCAGGAATTTGTCAACAAATATGGGATGCTATCGTCAATTGATTCAATATTCATGCAAGGGTAAATTAAATTGGTTTCTCCGTCATTATTTTGATAGAAGTGAAATTCCGGCCATCATGCTGCCGACCGAACGAATCAACTCCATTAAAACCAAGAGGGTGCGGTTTCGGAAATGACAAAATTAACAAATGAAATTGAATTGATTCATATAAAACTGGGATTTTTTTTTTTTAAACGCTCATCATTTGAACTCACAAACTTCACTATTTTCAATTAAAACAATGCAAGGGTGGAGAACAACAAAATCAGCAACGACTTGCTGACTTGCTCGAAAGATTTTTGCCAGAAAAACATAACAGTCTGCACAATTGGGGAAAAAAAAAACACCCTGCAACCAAAGGGAAACAATCCATACAATAGATTCCAATAAAGTTAAGACACGGTGGCCCGCCCCTTAAATTAGTGTGCAAAGAGGCTGAGTTTTCAAGTCTCTCAAAAGTTGTAACTGGCACGAGTGGGATTTATTTTTCAGGGCATAGGCTTCTGCTGTGCCATGCGCGGCTGAAGTATGTGTTAAAGGTGGATATATCATACAACTTTCATTAGATAGTTCAAACATAGAGTAAAATCACTGTGTCATGGAAATGTAAAAAAAAAAACTTTGAATAAAAAAAAAAAAAAAAAAAAAGAAAGAAAAAAAGAGGAGCCGCTGCCAAGAGAGAAACCTCCAATTTACAATTAAAAAAAAGAAGAGCCACAAGTAATAGTAAAAAAAATTCACTTGAACATCAAATAGTGGCCTCGCTAGAATTAGTGCCGCCGGTGCCCCCCTTTCCATAAAATGAACTGCAGTTTGCAGAAAATGCCGCCCCTCCATCTAAAGAAAAAAAGTACCGCCCGGGGGTGGCCCCCCCCCCCCTTTCCAACCCCCCCCACCCATGTACCTACGGGGCTGATCAAATATGACTTCTGCGTTATATCACAAAAGCACAGTCCATGGAATAAATAATGAGAAACGATTTGCGGATGTAGAACAGCATCAAATAGAACCGTTCAAATAGAACATTAGCGCAGAGTAAACAAGAACCTTTGCACCTGGACCTACCTTTGTGCTCACTTCCCGTCGATGACCTTCTTGAGCTGCTGCTGGAACTTTTACCTGTGACACACACACAAAACTATAAGACACACACAAACAAATGTGGCGGGTGGGTTTCAGGAGGAGAACGGCAGTTGAAGACAAGGAACATATTCAAACCTGACCCTGGCACAAAAAGGTCAGGTCTTTGTCAGACTATGAAAAAAAAAAAAAATTATCCTGAACAATTTGAAAACTACCTTTTTTTTAAAATCAAAAATGGTTTTCTGTTGTTTTTTTTCCCTTTAATTTCAACCACCTTTCTCAAAAGCAGTGTCAGACTATGAAAAAAAAAATAAATTTATCCTGAACAATTTGAAAACTACCTTTTTTTTTAAAATCAAAAATGGTTTTCTGTTGTTTTTTTCCCTTTAATTTCAACCACCTTTCTCAAAAGCAGTGCAAAACAAAATACTAAGCCAAACAAAACATCAAAGCACTGAATAAAAGGAAATAATCAATAAGGATCTAACAATTATATTTCTTGAAATGATCTCCAGCGACTTTGAACATTTTCTACATTTTATCTTAACATAAGCTGTCCATTAAAATAAATAATGCACAAAGTTTAAAACGATGAAAACTAAGATGGCACAGAGAACAAACAATGAAAAATGTTTTATTGAAGAGGGTAATGTATAACAAAAAAAAAAAAAAAACAAAAAAAAAAAAAAAATAAAAAAAATAAAGCAAAAAATTTAAAAAGATGAAAACTAAGAAGGGAAAAAGAAAAAAAAAAGAAAAATGTTTTAATGAAGAGGGTAATGTAAAACAAAAAAAAAAAAAAAGCAAAAAAAAAAACAACACTTTAAGCAAACCACTCTAAATTAAAAGTGGCCCCCCCGGAATGTTTTGATAATGTCATATTTACGATGGACTCTCTTAGCACTCACAAGAGTTTGTAGTTCCCATAAATGTAAATGATTTCTTAAAAAAATATATCAAGCAATTTTAAAAATCTTATTTGCTAAAATAAATAATAAAGCCACCGTTCAAAAGTTGATCTTTAAATAATTTCTAAAAATATTTTATTTACTTGTGAAATGAATGATAGATCTATGAACATAATTATTTATTGATTAATTTCTTTTACCTTAATAAATTTAAAATAATTTAAAAATAAAAAAAGAATAAAGGCGATTATTCTTCTTTCGGCCCCCCCCCTCCATTCCCCCCACCCCCGTTTTAGTAAACATATACCTCTTAGTTTTGACCGTTTAAGATACATTTATTTATAAAAAATAATTGTAAATGATAAGGTTTTGTTAAAATTAATTCAATTTTCCTCTTACATTCATGAAAGTTCTATGGAGGGCAAATTAACAAAAGACATCACAAAGCTTTAATAGCACTTTGAACCAAATATAGAGATAAAAGGAACAATATTTTTTTACCAATGTCTTTTAAATTCTCACCTGATTGCTGTGATAGGGATAAGGTCAGCTGACTTGACTGTCTGATTAAGGAGACTCTATAGAAGTAGTTGCGCCAAAATGTTTCCTCATTCACTCTGTTCAATCAACATATAATATTATTAACACCTGGACAAATTCATTTAATTTTTAAACTGTATGTTATTTAGTATGTATTTTTGAAAAAAAACAACAATACAAATCCAACTATTATCTCAAAATGACTCTTACAAATAAGCTTTTTAAATCTTTAATCATTAGAACATTTTTAAAAAATTAAAGAGCATCAAACTTTAAAGTTTTAAACAAGGTTTTAGGCAAAAGAAACACCGATACGCATGAGTTACTTAATTTTTTTAAAATAAATTTTTCAACCATGAGTTGTTAACAATTTTTTAATGGGATAATAGATAAAAAATGTTGCCTTGTGTTTTGACACCTTCGAATCGAAACAAAGTTTATATTACGGGAAAAGAGAATTGCAAACAATCTTACTGTTTAGGAACCAGATCAAATCTCATTTTTTGTAAGTTAGGATCCTCCTGTAATGTGGCCAAGGCCACCGGGTAAGAGCTGTTGAAATCAAATTGAAACTGAACCCCCGCAGGTGGATTTCTCACAAAGTTCCTTTTATCCTGAAACAGAAAGACTTAAGTAGGAGCTAAATGTTTTATTTTAAAAAAAAAATCTCTTGGCTCATATTTAAATTTTAAAAAAATTACTTTTACAAGTAATGATGCTAGGCACAATTTTAAAACTGAACAACACATTTTAATAATTTATTTGGAAAATATTGAGGTTAAGATATTTTCAAGTTATTATATCACATAAAATTATCAAGAGACCATTCTAAACAAAAATATCCAATTAAGAGGAGCAATATCTGACTGACCAACTGTTGTGGTGTAAATGCTCATTTTCTTTTGCTTAAACAAATGCTTTTTTAAATAAAGTGTTTGTATACAGTTAATGTTGATTGTTTACAACAGCGGTTCTCAACCTGTGGGTCGCGACCCCTTTGGGGGGTCGCACGACCCTTTTCCAGGGGTCGCCTAAGACCAACTGAAAACACAAACGCTCTACAATTAAAAAGGAGAAACGAAAATTTTTTATGGCTGGGGGTCGCCACAACAGGGTGAGCTCTATTAAAGGGTCGCGGCATTAGGAAGGTTGAGAACCACTGATTTACAACATCTCCTGAGATTGCTGCTCATTACCAATGACAAAGCCAGAATCTGTGTCTTGAGGTCGTCTTCATCATTGAAACCCACCCAGGGAGCCACTGCAGCCTCCTGCTGTTTAACTTTCTCCCTATTCTCTTCCATAAACTTATCTTGCTCCCTGGTAAAATCTCCCAGAATGGTCTGAAGAAATTTGATTGAAATCAGGTAAATGTCTAAAAGAAAACTATATGCATTCATGATTTCAGGAATAATTGTAAGCAAAATACACTTTAAATAAAAATCTCCCGTTTCTAGGAATTAGTAAGTTGTTCAATTAAGTTGTTTGTGTAACAAGATGTCGATAATACAGAATATCTGTGGTTTGACCCCACTCCTGAGCATTGTCATAAACAGATTTTATGATCCCTTATGCCTACAGCCCTGTATTTCAAATCACATAAAGTATTGTCCATGTAATTATGTATGGAAAAAATATTTCATTTTTTTATACCTAACCCTAGAATCAATATGGAGACTTTGCATAAAAAAATGTGTTGTAAATATTGAGGTCTTTGTCACAAGACTTGCAAAAGGTTACAGCACCCAATGATGTTTTTATGTTATCATATGTCTTATATTTTTAGTCCTGTTTAGAGATGTGATTCACTTTAAATCATGATGCGATTCTCATTCAGTATAGATTTTTTAATCATATGAATACAACACATGACCCTGAAATGAGCAATCAGAGACTTTTTTTTTAAATAGAAATTTATCTTAAGATTTAAGAAAATGAAATTTAAAAAAAAATGATCAAAAGTTAAAATATAATTAAAATTTGCAGTTTATAATTATTGACCCTATTATTTGAGTCATAAAAAGAGTTTTACGTTAAACCCACCTTTTCCTCAACAGTATGTTTTATCTTGTTAGCAGTATCTGTCACTGTTTTTGTGGCAGCTTTACCAAAGCTGAACAGAATGTCTGAAGAAAAACACTTATTTATTAATGAATGAACTCACAAGCTTTATATTCTGAAAAGGACTAGCCTAAAACAGAAAACACAAATATCAACAATCATGCAATCAATGTATAAAATGTGCCAAGTCTTTAATTACTACAAGACGTAGGCCATAAACAATTATTTAATTTGGACCTCATCTTTTAGAAGCTACTTTTAAAATTAACAGTTATTTCAAAATATTGGCCAAATAACATGATTTCTTATCCCATTGGTATACATTATACTAAATTATAGAAATGATTTTAAAAAAAAAATATTATCATATAGTCTAAAGTAAACAAAAAACAACAACAACAAAACTATAATTAGCAATGGGGAAATGAGGCTAAATCAATAAATTAATGTGAAGAGATATTGGCCATGAGCCAACTTTATATTGATGTTTAGTTTATAAGGAATAGATAACTTTATAGATCAATTTAACAAAAAAATATATATTTGCTTCTGGCAATATTTGTTTTTACACAGCCTAAATATAATTATATGTTAGAAAGTAGAATGTCTGTTGTAATAAAGCTTAAATAGGCCTATACAGGCCCTACGGTAGCTGGCACCCTGGGCAAGCTGAATTTGATGCCCCTTTTACGTATAATCAATACAAAATTTTGCAACTGGGGGTTGGGTAATGAGTTGTTTTTTTTTTTTTTTACCTAGGTCTGTTTTTTTTAACAAACAATGAACAATAATAATGTCTTTCTTAACTTGTATTTGGACAGTATGAACAATTAGCCTACCCATGACTTATCTTTGTAGCCTTTAGATCAGCAAATCTTTATATTGCACTTTCTATATTTGTATTCTTTACAATATAATTTTCTTTAAAACACAATTGCCAAAGAATTTATTCCGTCTTGAAACATGGATGATCTTAAATGTGTTTTTTTATAAGATTTAGTTTACTAAAGCTTTTATTGACAGGGGCTACAGTAATAGGTATTGTAAGCATTATTCTCAATGCTACCCACAGATTTGGCATGACATCCAATACCTTATTAAGTGTTTTATGAATTTATCAGCTTCTATTGGAAACTTTATACCATGAGGAAATTTATCTTTGGCTATATGTGTTTCAGTCAACAGATCACATCCATGTATATCGCTTTTTCTTGATACCTTAACTTATTCTCCAAATCTTGACATGATACTTTGAGTCTGTCAGAATTTTTAGGTCATTTAAAACTCCTCATGTGATATTGACACTTTGCAACTGTTCAAATCTCTCTGATAATGTATTTATTATTTATAGCTATGATTCAGGATTCATTAAACATGTGATTTTTCTTTTTTTTTCTGAGTCACATGCATTTGGAACCTTGTCAGTGCACTCATATTCAAACAGCCTCGTTCTTCTTCTTTTTATCTCTAAAAATCAGCTCTACATTTAATTCTACCCCTTGAAATGCCATTAATATGAAAAGAAAGTCAGAAAAACAAATAAAAGCAAAATATATTTTTTTTTATAGGCGTATTAATATTTATAAAAAAGAAACATTCACTCTAGTGAATAAAAAAAGGGGGAGCTATATCAGTCAAATAAACACAGGGGATCTGTAAGCCTAAATTAGCCAAAATAAATATTAAATGTCTTTAAAAAAAGAATAAAACACTACGGTATATCATTATGAATGGCATAAAACAAAAAATAGAAGAAGCGAATTTATGTGAGGGACTATTAATTTTATATATAAAAGAGATGTGGCAGATTGCAAAAAGGCTTATTTTACTGTTCAGTCATCAAATCTTAACTTATTGTAAGATTTTGATTTATGTATACATAGTGAATAGATTACTAAATTATTGCAAAGAGAGATTATTAAATTACTTACAGAGAGGAATATATTACAGAAATCATGATTATAATCAAATTACTTTAATCTATTATTTATAATCTATTTATTTAACGAAAATGTAAAAATTGCAGGTTGGCACTGAGTTTATTTAGTAAAGGTGCTGAATATGCACATTCTGCACAACACAAAAGTCGATTTCAAACTCAGGTGAGCGTTAATTCATAGTCCCCCTCCTCCCCAGTGACAGGTCTACAATTGCAAAGAGAGAAGAACTTGATGCACTTCAAAGGAAGCAGCTGCTTTTGTCATCAGTGAATTTTGCAGCCACTTCCTGTGTACAAACATATGATTTATGTAGTATGAGTATCCTGTACAAACATTTTGCACTAAAAATTACTTTTCTTCCAGTTCATGGGCCTCCATGTAATGCTTTTTCCTATTTTGGAAGATCATCTTCATTGATGACACCCCTAAGCACATGCAAACCCGGGAAACTGCCCGGGAAACAATTTAAATTGTATTCACTTCACAACAGTCCCTAACTCTAACACTAACAGTAACAGTACATTAATTTTAGACTCCTGAGCTGGAGTCTGAACTCTGGTTCTGGAAACTAACACTAACAGTAAGTAACTGTAACAGTAACATTAACATTATTTATTTTATTGACATTATTTATTGAAAATGAAATCTTACTTCCAAACTCCCTTGCAGTATTCAGAGCTTTAGCTGACACATCTTCCAAAGTTTCTAATGGAGAAGCATCATGAGATGAATCAGATGAGGATGAAGCTTTCCCCTCATTATCCTCTGATTCTGTTTCTGTCAATCCTTCTTTGGAGCTTATACTCGTCTCGACTGATGTTGAGCTGATGCTGTCTTTACTATCTGAATGAACTTGTCCTTCATTTTCCTTGTTCTCTTCTGTTTCCTTGGATCTTTGACCCACACCGAGCCAGCTCGTAACGGTGCTAAACATTTTCAAAATAACTGTTTAAAAGGAAGTCTTGGTCTTTGTTTTGTCGCAGTTTGAGTATGCATGCACTTACTTCCAAAAGATTTGTGACACAACATAAACATAAGTCACGTGACTACGTTCTTGAACGCTGAAACTATCATTTTTATAAATATTTTCTGTCTGATATTATTATAATTTCATATTAAGTATATGCACGTGTTTCAGTACGACTTTTATTTTCATTTGTGGTTTAAAAAAACAATATTTTATTAACTCTCGAACTGATTGGAGAGATTTACTGTAGGCCTACCTACAGCTGTTTCCTGTTTAAATCATGTAATCAAGATGGCCACTTTCTTTGGAGAGGTACTGGATGTCCGCTCTAGAGCTGTCGACGATGATGAAGACGAAGATGAGCTTTTGAAAAACTTGAGGCAATAATATTGAATTATTCATTACCTCGGCATTTATTTTTTGTACCCAATTACTTGATATTGAATTAAATATTTTGTTTTAACAATATCAAGCAGTACTATGACAATGCAAATTGAATTCAAATTCTTAAAATTTGTGACTGGGTTGGCTTGGGCCCCGGTTGGGCGAGTTAAGTCCAAGAGTAAGAGTATAATTGGTGCTTCCGAGGCTGTGTTGCCAGTAGGATGAATAAAAATTTAACAGTACCGACTATATGGGTTTGGTGCAAAGTGTAAAAAACAGGATGATAGGCTCAGATAGGACCAAAACAGTTGGACCTGAAACTGAAACTGAAAGGATGGGTATGATAACTTTCCCGTTTGTCAATGTGCTTTACTCGCGTCATAAACTGAAACTAAAAGAATTGAATTTAACTCAAAAGTAAAAGAATCTCATCATTGCTGATACCCTAAGATGAACACTGGAAAAAAAGACACCTTATTAGTATTAGAAGCAAGCACTTTTTTTTGGAAGTGCTGTCTTTTGATTGAAAAATTAAGTACCTGTACTGTATGCTATTCATTTCTATCTGTATGTCACAATTTCACTGGACTTTTCAAACCCCCCCCCACAATTTCAAAAAAAAAAAAAAAAAAGGAAATAAAATTTTTTAATAAAATTAATACAGTACAGAGCTAAAAATCGAAATCTTTTCAATACATAACTGTGGCCTGTAGTTGACTTGGGGAACCTTTATGACTTATAAAATAATTATATACTTTGGAAGTTTTAGCCAGCCCTGTCGCTAACTGTATTTTAGCCCAATTATACTAAATAATTGAAGTCCCACTATTTTTAAACATTTAAATTTTTAAATATAAAATGTTGAAACTATGTAATGTTGGTAAGTTATTCAGCTATCCCTGCATGGCCAATGGCCAGTTCGCGTCTTAATGACTCTGTGTGTCATATCATCATGAGGCATACACCTATTTTATAGCTTTAAATTGAACATTATAAGTTAGATTACTTCTGATTAGTTATTATTATAGTCATAATACAAGTTTAAAGTTTAAATTAAAGTATCAGGAGTAAATCAGATCGTATTTGCATGTATTTAAAACTGTGCCAAGCCCAATTTCCAATACGAAATAGTATTCATAGTAAACTGATTTATCCTTAATTATTAAGCTTGATATTTTATTTATTTAGCTTAGAACATTTTTTAATTCCCCAGTGAGCCGGTTATTCTTTGGTCCAAAGAAATACAAGAAGAGCTTGAAAAGTCACAAGATAAAAAATTCTCATGCTCCAATTGTGTAATTGCATATGGCATTGAGGCAAATGGTATGTTGGAGAACAATAAATAAAAAAAATGCTTTTTATATATTGGAAAGTGTTACCTTTTCTTATATCAATTAATCCAATATTTAAAATTTAAAAAGTTCATTGCACTACTTCAGGAAAGAATTTGGTCTTATATAACTTTACTAAATTTTCTCAGTTCAACTTAAGGGAGAATGACAGCGCATACTTTAACTTTAATTCTCTTTTTTAAACATAATAACTTCATGCATTTATAAAAGATCCTCAAATAGTAAAATTTGCTCCAGTAGGGTCTATGCTTTACCGTGATGTTTGTAAGGAACTCTAATTGTACAAATTTTTCTTACGTCCATTAAGCCGAAACTATTATATTAAGCAATAAGGTTAAAAATTATTCTTATTTTTATGATTTTATTTCAGCTTTCACTGATATCTATATAACACAGAAGGGCTACAAAAAGATTGGTGGGATATTTCCAAGTGTTCAAGATGATGAAACATGGGCATCATTAAAGGCATCTTCTAGAGACAAATCTTGTTTTTTATACCAGTCTTTAAATGATCCTTCAGTTTTAGTGTGCCAGTGTAACAGGGATGTTCTGCCGGAGGAGAGTTTTTGGTGGGCTAAATTAGTAAGTATCTGGTTGAAAACTAGAACTGTTTATGAAGTGTACGAGATCTAATCAACAAGCTTGTTCATCTAACTTACTGATCCCAAATCTACCTATCTCTTGTAAAATATTACCAGCATACAAAATACATCCTGTGTCCAACTACTCATTACCAAGATTGATAAATTATGCTAATCTAAGGTGAAAAGCTAAATATCTGGTAAAAACGAAATAAAAGTGACAAGGGATCATAAAAATATTTAATCTATCAGTACGGTAAATCATTAAAAAAATATTTTTTTTGGTGCTTTGAGTAGTATATTTCTATTTAAAAATCAGCTTGTGGTAGTTAACATTAATTTATTTTTTAGGGTTAATTGAATTAATTATCAGTTATGTTTATAAACACATAATTTAAACAATTCTCATTTTCTTTTCTCACTACAGTTCATTGATAAATTAAACCTTTCAAGTGCAAATATAACAATACTAGCAACCAGCAGCACAGGGACTTATTGCAGTGACACTCCTGCCTCGGAGCTAGAGACTCCATTCCTTAGAGCATTAAAGACAGATAAGTTTGATGGTACTCTTGCTTGTCAAACCTTGGAGCAGCCGAATTTACTGACAGGCTTTCCTGCAATGTGTATGCTCTTTATTGCATCTTTTTTTTTTTGCATACATTTTAATCTGTGTGATCAGTCAAAACACATAATGGTGTTTTTTATGCAAGTACTGCAGTTAAATATTTAGTTAAACTTTGTTAAAAGTTTTTTATTAAAATGTCTCTTGTGAAATATATACATTAAAAAGTTAGTTTAATTCATGTTTTGGCATCATTTTGTACACAGTTTAAAAATAAAACTTAAGTGTATTTAGTTTAGTATTTTAAACAATTGAACCAAGGTATTTATTTACTATTAAGAAAATTAGAACAAACACATTAACAAAGTTGAGTTGGATAAATGGTTTAAACTTAAACTTGAAAATACACATGTTTTTGATGTCCTAAATTTGAGCATTTTCATGGAAGTTTTAACGTTTTATTCCTTTGTATCTGTTTCAAATTCAGTGATGACATTTTTCCAAATTCACCAACAAAAAGCAGTTATTTATGTGTGCTACACAGAGACCAAATACATGAATATCATGGATGTGAAAACTTTTGTGCCTGTTTCTAATGTTTCCCCAATCAAAGACATAGCCGCAGTAAGTAGTGTATTTTTAAAAATATTTTTGTTGTTGTTGAGTTGTTTTTTTTATCAGATGCAGTTTGGTATTTGAATTTGATCACAAAATTAGATAAACTTTTTATTTCAACAAAAGGTTAAAACATTTTGTGTGTATCAAGTTATTGATGAATTTCAGCTGTCAAATTTTTACATGGCTCTTTTAATGCTGTAAGCTAAATAAAGAAAACTAATGGTCATATTATATATAAATATTATTAAAAAAATATAACTTCAAATTGTAATTTGTATTTACTTAGCTTAAATATTTATATGGAATTTACAGTTGATATTCATATACCATGCAAAGAAAAATTAGCTTAAAAAGGTTAGAATTGACAGACATTTCATTAGTTGAATTCATTTTTAAAAAAAATTCTTGTTTGCAGCCTGCCACTAACAAGGATAAGTTGATCAGGGACTTGGTAGAGCGACACACGGTACATGACACCATGTATATGTGATTCATCTTGTGTTCAGACCCATTTATATTGACTGCATTTAATAACAAATGGTTCTTTGCAAGTAAGGAGAATTTGGCATGCTTGGAGAAATTTCATGGTGTGAATGTTTATAAATTTGATTTGAATGCTGCAAATGTAAGGTTTTTGAAATATTTGAATATTGTATTCTGTTTTCTAAAAAAAAATTGTCAGGTTTGTTGATGTCACATTGTTTTCAGTATAATCATAATTACTGATACTGATAATTGATATCAAATGCATTACTGTATATTAAAAAGAATTATTTTTACAATTCTCTTTGTGTGATCTTTGATGTCAGTTGCCACATGAGATGAATATTTTACTCCTAAAGTTTTATATGACAGCTTCATTTCCTAAAACAGTAGTTGTCAACCCATTTTTAATCTCTGAAAGGTAATAATCAGTTTCAGAGATTCTTTGACACATCATAGATGTATTAAGATTACATGCTGTGAGAAGTACCGTTGGAGCAAATTATTAAAATTATTAGCAATGGTATTTGATTAGTTGGAATATGTAAGTTTGAATGATTCTACTCTATAAAAGTAAATTATATATTTTTTTTTTACATTAGTCTTTATGTTTTACATCAAAAGTTTGCAACACACCAGTGAACCTACAGGGACACAGCCCTTTGAAATCATTGACTGAAAATATGTAGTGTCCATATTTATTGGGTGTCTTGATAACTAGGTTCTACAATGAAGTGTTCATGTGTTTCCCAAAAAAATAACATTCAGCTTTGAACTCGTAAAAATGAACAAAAGCTTCTAAGAAGTGACCTAATTAAAAAGTACACAGAATTAAAAATGACTATGTATTTATTTCCCCCAAAATATAATGAACAATATTCAAGAATATTGCACAGTTAACATTTCAATGTTTATGTGGTAAAAAAATTAATCAATATTGAACATAAATTAACTATCAATAACTTGATTAGTTACATAACTAACTAACGCACATATTCTGGTGAAGGTCTGAGATTACTCTCTTATGACCCCGGCTAGTAAATTGGCTATCAACTCCATCTGTTGAGCTGAGCCATACAACATTTCCCTCACAAAGGATCCTCCAACCGCCCTGGCTTCCCCCGGGAGATCTAGTGCGGGACACTCCGTCAACAGATGTTCTAAGGTCTCTGGGGCCAGGCTGCAGTGCCGGCAGGTAGGATCTCTGTTGTTGTCCAACCTCCAGAAATATGTGCGCAGGGGGCAGTGCTCGGTGCGCATCTGCGTTACTAGACTCTGCACTCTACGACCTAACCCCCACCATGGGTCTTGTTTGCTAGGAGTAGGCAAGTTCGAATAGACGCCTCTGGCGGTCGTGTTGTCAGCCCATTGCCTGTACCACTTCTGCCTGAAGTGGTCTGCCAGCCAGTTTTTGACTCCCAAGAAAGTCATTGGTACTTCTGGCTGAGGCTGGGCTGCCCCGGTTTTCGCCAGAGTGTCAGCTATCTCATTGCCACTGATGTTGACGTGCCCTGGTATCCATTGCATTTCAACCTTGCACCCTATTTCACCAAGTCTGCATATGTCGTTGTGAATGACGTCGACCAAGCTTGTGGTACCCTAGTTACATAACTAAACTGGCCTTTTTAATGGGATGAAAACACAAGGTCGTCTTTAACTCAGATTTAAAAAAAGAAAAAACTATTTATAAAAAAAAATATTTTGAGAAATATGAAAGCCTGGATAAATTAGGCAGCAAAGGCAAGTCCGAGTAAGTTAAATAATTGCTCGATAGGATATAGGTTCATATTAACAATGGAACTTGTATTTAATTTAAACATTACAATAAGAAAAGAAGTTTCCATCATATCTGAGTGTGATTTAAACAAAACAGTCCATCTATTAACAAATGACTTAATTATATTAACTGCATTATGGAATTTTGAGTATTTATTTCTCTTGATGTCAAACATTCATCATTCATGAACAACAACAAACGTGTTTGAAGACATTTCTTTGAGTTTTATTTAATGTTAAAGGTTCAATAGCAAAGTCAGATAGCTTTAGTGTCGACACAAATGCATTGAGATGTCAAATACAAATGAAAAAACACTTTGAAAACAAAATTCTAGCATGCTGAAAACAGCAGTGATTCACATCTTACCTGTAACACAATAACAAGATGGCTGTAGTATAATTATAAGAAAAGTGAACAACTCAGGGCGAGGGCTGTGAACCACTGACTTGTGATTAATATGTTTAAAATAACAATGGTCAGGATACAATTTTAATCTATCTTTGGAAGCCAGGTTGACAGTCAAAGTACGATAAAACCGTCTTCAAAGCATCGCAAAATCAGAATCCTGACTGTTTCGTTAACCATTATTTTGCTTCTAATTACTGACAGATAAAACTATTGAAATGCACAATCCTTCTTTAGAGGATGGAAAGTGTTTGATTTTAGTTGAGTTTTTTTATATAACATAATATATGTATATAAAAAGCAAAAAAAGAAAGAGAGAAAAAAAAATAGAGCCTAATAACTGAACAAATATGTTTGCATATGTAATTTAACTGTATTTTTCTAATTCCTAGCCCTAAAACTTGTTTTAAAAAGTTAGATCATAACTTTGGCATGTCTTAAGTGTAACAAAATGTTTTGGTCAAAATTTCAAAATTATATACAGAAAATCCCCCGTTACCTCAAAAGTAAAACTGACGATCCAATTAAAATGAAGAAAAAAATTAAAAGCTGAGAAAGCATATAAAAAGTTAGTAAAATAAGTAATAAAATCAGGCATCCAGGCATCTACATTTCAAAACAATTCATCAACAAAATTCTATTCCTAGCCTCAATTACTTACTTGCCTTGCCAATGTAGTTTGGTAGTAAAGTCATTTTATATATTATCTTTCTGCCCAAAATCCAGTATGGTATCACTGGACGACCTTAATTAGAATTGCACTGCTTGTCACTTAAAAATTGCTAGCATATCGGCCTAGACAAGTCTGGGTCATTGAGCTGCATAAAAACCCACTAAAAATCCTCCTTTTGCAATTGAGCAAAAAAAAAAATAAAATAAAAAAAAGAATATGAAATTTATAAATATAAAGTATTAAAGAAATAATTGAACTTTAACATGTTATTAAGCTTTTGATCCGCACCATTACTTTAACTACTGAGTTTTCTTCTCATCACTGCCTTCCTGCAATGCCTTCAGTCTGTCCAGAAGTGGTGGGTGTGAGAAATGCCACGCTGAATACAGCCAATCACTGAGAGGGAAGCTCAAGTTGTCCTCATTCAGCTTGATCAGGGCGGAGCACAGAAGGTGACTGTGGTTCATTTTACGCGCAAACGCATCTGCTTGGAATTCAAACTTCCGTGTGATATGTGTGACAATGAACGATAAAATCTGAAACAATTTAACACAAGTATTACCGGTACTATTTAATTTTTGAAAAAAAAAAGCCTTACACTTACAGTAAAAGCAAAGAAAGCTTATATTTATCAAAGAACAAAATGTATCAAATCAGATTTCAAAAGACTTCCTGCATTGCTTACCTCATTGTAAGGAGCGAAAATAAACTGGAATATAATAATGAGACCAATCAAAATGGGCTGTGTGTCAAACCCAAATGCTGAATACAGCACAGTTTCTTTTATGAGTACTGCGAACACCATCAAACACAGCAACAAGTTCACCGGGGGGGGGGGGGGGGGGGGCAATAAAACAAGGTGACGTTAGCTGGGTGATGATTATCAAGCAAACGTCATTAAAAATGTAGCAATCAGCATCAAGCAATTGGGATTAAAAATGTAACTATCAGTGAGGTGATGTTTGTTGCAAACAATCTAAACTTAATTTATCATTTTGAGGAAATAGTTTTGGATAGAACAATGAGCCCAGTGATAAAACTATAAGGCTTTTTACCTGAGCTGAACTTTATGACAACTCACTAGTGATCAAATACAGGACAACATACCTAAGAAAAAAACGCCACTAAACTAATATAAAAATAAACTCATCTGAGATGAAAACTGTACAGCAACACACCTGAGATAAATCAAATAAACTAACCTGATACAAAAATGCAGGGCAGCTCACCTGAGACAAAACCAACTGTTTAAGGACATGATTAAGATACCAATAACCCAACTACTCACCTGAGACAAAACCAACTGTTTAAGGACATGATTAAGATACCAATGACCCAACTCATGGCATAAAACGGCCAGGACCTCATCATTGTTGCAGCCTTTCTTCTTCTTTTTCTTCTTGGACTCACTGTCCTCAGCAGTCCCTGTTTCATCTGTTGAGCTTTCAACTTCTTTCTCATTCTTCTCCTTGTCCTTAGGGGCCTCCTCAGTTTTGTTGTCTTCGGATTCAGTCACCTAATCAAATTGTTGTAATATTTAATCACTTTAAAAAAAATCACCCGCTAATTGAGATTTGGTATGGATGGTGAAATAGGGAGAAAATAGCAAACAAATTTCCAGTACTTGATGCTAATGATTGGACACCCTAACACAGGATTCAAAGGATCTGTTAAATTTAAATTATAATAATCTGTGTATTCAGGTCTGAGCCAGAAGGACATCTGTATCTGTATATTCTTAAACAAAACAAAAATCACCTTTGGCATGGTGACCAATATAATAATTGTTAAAACACAATAAACATTTCCTGGAAAAGCCCATCACACAAGGTTGGTACTATTTATTAAAGAAACCTAATTTTAAGCATTACAACTTAAATGTATGCAGAATGAATGCTTACTTTTTCTTCCTCATCCTCTTCACCTTCTTTCTTTTCCTCCTCAGCAGACTCCTTATTCTCAGGGGCATAGTCTTCTAGCAAGGTGTCAAAAAGAACAATTCGCTTGTTGTTGAAAAACCCATAAAAGTAGGCATTGCTGTGAGACGATCTTTTGGAACCTGCAAGGTACACGAAGACAATGTGATTAATTCAATGAACTTTTCGGAACCTGCAAAAAAGTATTTTTATTATATAATAAAGCACGTGTTTAATTACAGAAAAATTTAATAAAAGAAATTTGACACTTATCAACTCATCTTTTGCCGAGTGCTTGAAATCACCTACCTTCGACTACAAAGAGCTTCTTTAATGGGAAATTAATACTGCTGGCTAATTCTTCAATTCGTGTACGAAGTTCTCCTTCAGGCAATGGTGTAAATTTGTCAAACAAGGGAGCGATGTAATCAGCATAAAGAGTTATCATTACCTAGAGTTAAAAAAAGAAATATAGATGGTAACAAGTCTATTTAACAGTTATTTTCAAAATTATATAGCTTTTTTTAAAATTATAGTAAGATGCTAATACAAAATATGTCTTAATACAAATGAACAAGAGGAATGCCTGAGAATCACTAAATATTCAGAAAACAATTTTTGCTGACTAAATTTAAATAATCGCTAAAGTGGAATGTGTTTACCCAGTGTACCGGTACAACAAATTTTAGTGTCATCACAATCAGTAAGTGAAATAAAAATATTTAAAAAATGTATGAGTTGTAGAAGGGAATAAACATTTTATAACAATACATATTCTATATTTTAAAAAAGTATGTTTCTCATACATACCAGTGAGACCACAAGAATGAAAAGCCAAGCGTATATGAAGAAGTAGGTTCCTCCGGCCTGTATTATGAGGATCAGGGCAGCGGTGACAGGTAATGCAATCGCTGTTGTCACCAACAAGTGTTTGGCAGTATCTTTGAAGTAAAATCCTAGAGTCTGTTTGAGAAAAGATAGTTTTAAGCATAATTATTTTTCAGGACTGCACACTTAAATATTCTAGTGCCCCGTAATGCATAGCTTATGCATAGCGTCCTCCCATATTTCACTGACCTGTTTATTGAAACCGTGTCGTTCTTCTATCACAAATGTACTATACAGAGACCAAGGCAGACTTGTCACAGTGGAAAACAGCATTGCAATCAGCATAAACACCAAAGACTGGCCAATCTGTTTAATAGAAAAAAGTTGGTCCTCAAAATAATGCCATTTATATATTACTTGATGGGTATTTGTAAAAAAAAAATAATATAATTTTAAGGTAAAGAAAACTATTTGTGCTGTTAATATCTATGATTACCTCGCCCTGGGGAATGCCCAGTTTTAACAGGGTCAGAGAGGCTAGATTCCATAGTGCCGGAAAAGCACCAAACCACAAAAGAACCTGTGGATGGCAAGAAGTAAATCCTATATTAATTGACATCGAAGAGATCCACACGAAGTGCAAAAATACTTGATTTAATTTTAATCTGGATAAGGCAAAATAGAGGGAATATAAATATTTTACATTAAATAAAAGAAATGAGAGTGGCAAAACCTAGGTTAGGAAAAATTGATTCATTAAAATATATTTGAGAATCATAATATTTATAAGTTTAAAAAAAAAAAGAAATCTTGTGCACCACCTCACATTAGTTTATGATGAAAAGATTCATTCATTAAATCAGCAGCCAATTATTTGTCAGTAAGATCTTTAACAAGTTAAAACATAATCCTTTAAAACTGAATGTTAATTAATTTGAATAGTTCAGATAAAATTAATACATTTAATGTAAGTCATAAGTATTGGTAAAGATGGAAGAAAATTAAATAAAATCCTATCTTTTTGGATTCATTAATTCATCAGAATTGTAAAGGAAATCGATACCTAAATTAATATTTTTTACCGTAGACTCAATTTGGCTATAAAAACCTTGGACCATTCCGAATGTACTTTTATCAAGATGGTAAGAGCGAGCTTTCTGAAATGTTTCTTGGTCCATTACTCCCACCAAGGCATCAGGGACTTTAATGCTTGTTTTAGCAACATGACGCTGAAATTTTAAATTTATTATACCTTTAAAATATAATATAGAATAATAGCTTTGATTATTTTTTGCTTTGGATTTATTCCAAGAAATGTAATTTAATTTTTAAGTTTATAAATTTAATAGCCAGTCTGTCAAAACGGGTAATTAAATAGCCTTAAAATATTATAACTTCTTCTATATCTTAAGGGCCCACGATCAATTTATTGATCAGGCTCCTATGCATGTAGATGGGATTTGCAATGTTTCTGTTCCTGGTGTTGATGAGGAAATTTCACTGATTTCCAGTGCCACTTTGTGAGGGAATCATGCACTAGGGGTTTGAAGGCTTGAGGCAATAGACACAAATGTGTCTAGTGTTGTCGCCTCAACCGTTCCTTTTGAAAGATTGTTCCAGTCCCTGATTGTCTTGGGCAGGAATGAGCAGCTCCTATACTGGCTTCTTGCTGGTATGAGCCTGAATTGCCTGTCATGGCCTCGTCGCTGTCTATGGGGGAGAGGGACGAGTTTCTGTTTAATACTGGAACAGTGGACCAGCCCATTATTTATCTTGTACATCATGGAGAGCCTGGATTGTCATCGTCGTTTCTCCAATGGTGACCAGCCTAGTGTTTCCAGCATGCTGCCAACACTAGAGGTATTCCTGTAGCGGTTTAGGACAAAGCGTGCTGCTCGTTGCTGGACCGCCTCCAAACTATCAATGCTCTTCTGGGTAAATGGGTCCCAGACTGAAGACGCATAATCTAAAATCGGACGGACAAAGGCTTTATATGCTCTTTCTTTCACACAGGAGTTGCCAATCTTTAGATTTCGCCTTAAGAATCCTAGGGTCTTGTTTGCTTGGTTACATACATTGTTAATATGCTCGTCCCAGCGGACCTCTCTTTGAATGGTAACACCCAGGTACTTTACGGAGGAAACTTGCTCAAGTATATGGCCGTGCAGTTCGTATTGGTAGTGTAGAGGAGAACAACTTCTAGAGACTGATAGTGTCTGGCACTTGGCAGGGTGAAATTCCATGTCCCAGCTCATTTCCCACTCAGTTAACAGATTGAGATCCTGTTGTAGCTGGTCCTGGTCAGATCTGTTGGCGATCGTCCAATACACTGCTGTGTCATCTGTGAACAGTCTTGCCTGTGATGTCAGTTTCTCCGGTAGGTCATTAATGTATGCTAGGAACAAACAGGGGCCCAGGACTGATCCCTGGGGGACAGTCTTGCCTGTGATGTCAGTTTCTCGGGTAGGTCATTAATGTATGCTAGGAACAAACAGGGGCCCAGGACTGATCCCTGGGGGACCCCTGACTTCAAATCGAAAAAGGAGGAGCTTGTACCGTCCACCACTACTGCTTGGCATTGGTGGCTGAGGAAGCTAGAGATCCATGTTTTAGTGGTGGCTTGGATCCCATATCTATGGAGTTTGTGTAGAAGCAAACTATGATTCACACAGTCAAATGCCTTTGCGAAGTCCATTACTAGCACGTCAGTCTGCTTGTGGTTCTCCAGATTGGTCATCAGGTCTTCTACAAATTCGAGAAGCTGGGAATCACATGATCTATTGACTCGGAAGCCATGTTGACAGTCATTGAGTATATTTTGGCTTTCAAGATGCTTCATGACTGTGCTTACGATTATGTGCTCTAACAGTTTGGAGACCATGCTGGTGAGGGATATCGGACGATAGTTGGCAGATAACTTGCTCATTAGTGGACCCCATAAAATAATTTTCAACTGTTAGCATTATGGTACAAAAGAAAAGATATATTAAAAAGAAATTATTGTGTAACTAAAAGACTTAAAAACTTTGCAAATACTTTCATACACTCTAAGCACAGCCAATCACTGCATTCACAAAACGGGGACTAAACTTGTGACCCAATTTTGAACACAGCTTTAAATTGACTTCTACTTTCAACCAGTTATTGTAATAATACTGGCATTAACAGTTTACCCTTTATTAGTATTACATAGCCAGAATTCATTTCTTAGTTTATTTTCTTGTTAATTTTATCTTTTATTTGTTACTTTTCACACTTGTTGTTTCCACACTTAATACTAGGCGTAATATTATATTATAATAACCAGTGCTTTTTTTGTAAAAAAATAGGTGCCGGTACTCAGTGATGGATTGCCTAACTTTTAGCTACCAGTTCACACCTCGATGCAAGCTAAATCACAACTGCAAATATACTAAATGTCTAAGACAATTTTATTTTATAATTAACCAACTTAAATTGTTTTATTATTACTTTATTAGTATACCGTATTAATTAATAATAAACGTTAAAATACAAGAAAAGTAATAATTTTTCCCCACATTGAAAAAGGTGCCGGTACGCCGTACCGGCACAAAAAAAGCACTGATAATAACATGATTGACACAGGTACGGCCAAATTCCAAATGAAAATTTCAGAAATGAGTGACAGTGTCAGTGACAGTGTGACATTTTATTAAGATAAGAAGTTTTAAGAAGTTAAGAAGCATTTTTTACTTCATTTACCTGTCTGAGTGAAAGATATGTTTCCCATATAAAAGTTAGCCACGAGAATATAAGAACAGCATTGAAAATTGTATTTTCATCAAAATTGGAAAACATATTGACATGCCGTTTGAGAACATGAAATTGAAATTATTCTCTTTCTAAAGTTGGATTATATTATCCAGCATAAAATACAAAGGAAATAGAGCTCTTCGTTTCTGGGGTAATTAAATGACTACGGTATTCAGCTGTTATTTTATGCTTCAAAATTTATCCATGTTTTAAAATGTCTAAGTATTAAAGCTATCTTTTGCTTCAGGAATATTTATAATAATAAATTCAAAACATAATGAAGTATTTTGGTAGCCATCTAATTTATAATCATATAGATGCAAGTTATAGTAAATTATATGAAATTTTTCCTTGACGTGAAATTTTCGGTAAGCACCGCCTAACTTTAAGGAAGTAAACACTAACACATGCTGCAATAAGCCAGCTGTTCACGAGCGTGAACAAATTAGCCTACAAACAAACTGGGTGTGTTAGCTCTACATATATATTAGAAATAGTTTACAATAACTACAAAAGTATGGTTAGACATATGATTGAATAGGCCTAACAAATGTTGACTTCTCACTTTCACTGAGTCAGTCACTGAGAGTTGAGAGTGAGAGTAAGTTGTAGTCCAATGATTGAGTCAATGTAGTCTGTAGTTGTATTACTATTACTAGTGTAGCACTCTAGTGGTAAACTGGTTGTAATTGAAACTGCGTATCACTATCGACTATGTCACTGTGACTTTAATATACTATATTATATATAATAATAATAATAAAGTTCATTTCAAAAACACGCTTCATCCCCAAAGGCTCGAAGCGCGGTACAAAGTCAAAAAAAAACCAAATCTATAGTTTACCACATTTAAAACAAACGCAACACGACAAAAACTAAGTACAAGCATACAATGGCAAAGTCTTTCTAGCCATTTCAACCATAAGCAACACAGCCATTATGCATTAACTGGAAAATAATGTTGACAATCATCCCAGAAGGTGTTTGCGAAATAGATGTGTCTTTAAATCGGTTTTAAAGGACTCCAGTGTCTGGTTGTTTCTGAGATCGACAGGAAGGGCGTTCCAAATTGTTGGACCAGCAAATGCGAAAGTGCGCTTTCCGTAAGTCTCAAGGCAAACACGTGGTGTCGAGAGTTTGCCACTATCGGATGAGCGGAGCTCTCTAGTGGGTACATAAGGCGTCAGCAGCTCTTTCAGATAGGACGGCGCCAGGTCATGTAAGCAGCGGTAGCACAAAGTTGCGATTTTGTACTCCATGCGAGCACGCACTGGCAGCCAGTGCAGCTCTCTCAGAAGTGTTTTTGCATGGTCAAACTTGCGTTTGCGGAGAACAATGCGAGCCGCATTATTCTGTGCTATTTGAATTTTATCCAGGAGCGTAGCTGGAAGACCCACCATAAGAGCATTGCAATAGTCCATGCGTGATAGCACAAATGCAGACATCAGCCTCTTTGTTGCATCAATTGTTAGGAAGGGCCTGATGTGACTAATCCTGCGCAGCTCTAGAAAAATCGCCTTGCATAGCATGTTAATATGACTTTCAAAAGTTAGTCTTCCATCTAGGTAGACACCCAGGTACCGCACTGTTTGAGCTAACTCAATACGCACACCTGAGAGAGTAATGGATGTAGTGTTATTTGCAGATTTTTGCTTCTGAGCGGTCGCGATGGGGAGCAGCTCAGTCTTATCATCATTTAATTTGAGCTTGTTTATCGTCATCCAGTGCTTAACCGACTCCATTGTCTTCTGTGTCATACTGAGCAGCTGAGGGAACTGAGAAGGGATCACGGATTGATGAAGTTGTGTATCGTCCGCGTACATGTGATACAACATGTCAAACTGCCTGATCTCTGCGCCCAGTGGCTGAATGTACATCGTGAAAAGCACTGGGCCTAGGACCGAGCCCTGGGGTACTCCGAATTCGATATTAGATTTCTTCGAAGTCAAGCCGTTTGAAATAACTGACTGCACCCGATTAGTCAGATACGATCGGAACCAACACAGGACGGTATCAGTAAGACCGAACGTTTGTTGCAGACGCTGGAGCAATATGCCGTGGTCGAGCGTATCGAAAGCTGCCGATAATACATATAACTTAAACTTAATAACTAGTAGAAGAAGTAGAAGTTCTAATTCTAAAGTAAGTTATGTTAATTTTATGTTTGAAGTAATTGAAGTTAGGCTACTATTATTAGTATACCCTACACACATTGACACTAGTAGTAGTAGTTCAAAGGCTTAGTTAGTGACCATCGTTGGTGACCATTTATTTTTAAATTTTTTTTGAAGTGTCTGTGCCTAGACAGACAAAGCCTTTTTTACAAGCTCTGCACTCATTTAGCACCAAAAAAATGAAAACAAGGACTATCAGTTCAGCGCCATGACGTTTCACACTGCCGTCATCTTGGTTGCCACAACCTGTGAGGTCATGGTAATCAAGGTCATGGCCATGTAAAAAAAAAACCACTCATCTGCTAAAATGGAGAGGGGAAAGGGAGAGAATATGCTGGTTTAAATATTTACAGAGAGAATTGAAAATGGGAACAAAACGTTAAAATTTTAGTAAAAATTTCCACCGTTACATAAATTTAGAGGTGAACGTAGCTACTTAATTGTATCCATCTAGATATTTGGCAAGATGTCTCAATGACCTGTAGTCACCCCCTTCCCTGACTTAATTTCAGCTGGTACATGCTCGTTTCCCTCAACTAAACTAGTAAAACACATTTGCTGCTACAGTTACAAACTGTGGTAAGAAAACTGTAAAAATGACAACAAAAAAAAGTGAAATAATGCAAACCCAACTTACAGTTTCATAGGATACACTTTTACACACTTTATTTCCGGTTCCACGAAAAAGAAAATCCTAGAGTTGTCAAAAAATCAATACATACTCATTTTTCAAAATGCTGGAAAATTTAACTATTATAATTAACCAAGCAATGAAATTTTAATTACATTCCAATTGTTCTATTTAAAAAAGTTAACTTTAGTGGTAACAACAACACAAAGGGGAGTGAATCGAACATAATTACTTTTCTAAAGTTTAACAAATATAAAACTATATATATTCTTGTATGGAATTTAAATGAAAAATTTGATCTTTATGAATCAAACTGAAATCTCAAAATGTATGCAAATATATCCTAATTTGCATAATTTATGCAAACCATATTTTTTCACTCTTACTTGCAGAATTTTGTTAAATTTTACGATTGTCAAAGCCTAAATAAGTCCTAGCCCATATTTGAATGAAATCCTATGTGGAAAAACTGCATACAATACAATATTTCCCTGGGGCTGCTTATAACTTCTGACATACCTGTATTTTAAGGTCATATATTTTTAGGGGTCACTAGGTCCCAAAAAATTGTATATAAAATGACAGAGCACCATAAAATATCGAGGGAGGCCATCATTTAAATGGAGAAATGAGCTATATATGTGAGAAGTCATCTGATTATTGATTGATTTCATATTTACATAGCGCTGGTATCCATGCTACTTTAACATGCTCAATGCACTCTGGTTTTACTTAAATCTATTTAAACAGAAACGTTTTTGAAAGTTTCTTAAATGATCTTTTATCATTTTAAATTCCCCTAAAAAATTGAGGCAAACTGATTGTGGAGCTATCGCTTCAAAAGAGCGCACTCTGTAAGACTTTTTTCTGTGTTCATCCACACTGGCAATTTTCAATTAGGACTCTTTGAAGACAAGAGGTTCTTTAAGGATAAATATTTATAAATCAGTTCTTTATGATATTTTGGTGCAAAGCCTTCTATCCAGCTGTACACCAGGGACAGAATTTTGTGATTAATGCACTCACTCACAAGAACCCAATGGAGATCTTGTAGAACTGTGGTGATGTGGCCGGATTTATTTATCCGCGATGCAATGTGTGGTGCAGTATTTTGTACCTTCTGGAGTCTCTGAATTTGGTTCTGAGGTAAACCCCACAAACAACTGTTACAGTAATCTAATCTTGACTGGATTAGAGTTACCACTACAGCATTGGCTGTTCTCTTATTGAGTTGAGGACGCAGTTGACCCAGGGCGCGCAGATGACAGAAGCATGCCCTGACCACAGAACTGATATGGGGAATCATTCTAAGTTTACTGTCAATATATAAGCCAAGGTCTCTGACAGTGAAGGACAACAGGATCTCTGATTCACCAACTTTTATTGCTGCGATGGCAACTTTCCGAAGATTGGCGTCTGAACCACAAATAGCTGGTACGAACACCAGCCAGACAATCTTGAGGCTTGAAATAGATCGGCCATTTGTCTTTTTTGCCATTCTGCCCAGCCATCCGAAGAGGGTTAAAACGGGAACATTTTAAAATCATTTTGCAGCATTGATCCATCTTAAAATAAACAATTATTAAAGTATTTGTGATTAGGCATTAGGCCTATGCCTATAAAACAGATTGAGGGATGCTAGAAGGCAAGGAAAGAAGAGTGGGTGGCCTTAAATAGGCCTACTAATACCTAAAAATTAATTTTCTAAAATAATGAGAAGAGTCCAAGATTATGGGCACGCAATAAATTTGTAAATTTTGATCCTAATTAAAGTCTAAATGCACAAATAACAAATTTATATGATTAGTCACAGATTTACCAACATAACCATGATTAGATGTAAAAAATTAGATTAATTTGTTATATAGGCCTAACTGGAAAGTGAATAGCTGTTATCACTATATACACCTGCATACACTTAAACTACATGCTGCACATACTCATAAAAACAAAGAAGAATAATGTACATTACATCAATGTTGAGACCAATCTTGTGATAATATATCGTTTTTAATATTAAATTAATCATAACAGTTAAACGTAAGGATCAAACATTAAATAGTTAAGTAATTATCTAATCTTTCTCATCAAGTGTTAATTTAGGAAATATTTTGAAAGAATGAATATCAGTCCTATAACTTATGTTTTAGAGCAAAAAATTTGTGTGTGCAAAATTATTTTTTTCTTTCAGGTCACTCAGAAACATATCCTTTAAAATGCGGAACCCTGAAGACTTAGGTCCACCAGAGAAGAAGCAAAAGTTAAATCATGTCCAAACTAGTATGAATTATCAATTTCATTCAGAGATAAAAAAAAATGTATTTTTACTTCA